CGTAGCGAAAATCGAGTAAATTTCAAACGCAAAATATTTAGCAAAAAAAAAGCGATTTTAATCAAGTAAATATGTTCCATTCTGTTCAATGACTTTCTGCCATCTCTTCACGAGCTTCGTTATCCCTCTTTCATAAAAGTTCTGAGATTTTTGGGCAAAGAAGTCATCCAAGTTTTTGAGGACATCCGGGGAATTGAAGGTTTTGTTATTCAAATTGTTCTGTAACGCCTGGAACAAGTGATAGTCTGAAGGTGCAAGATCCGGACTATACGGTGAGTGCACCAAAACATTCCACCCAAGCCGCAATAACTTTTACCGGGTCATCAGAGAAACGTGTGGTCTAGTGTTGTCTTCGTGGAACACAACGCCCTTTTTGTTCGCCAATTCGGGCCGCTTCTGATCGATTGCTCGCTTCAATTTGGCCAGTTGTGAGCAGGACTTGGTCGAACTAATTGTTTTGTTGGGTGGCAGCAGCTCATAATAGACGATTCCTTTCCAATCTCACCAGCCTTTGCGACCGTCTGAGCAGCCTTCCTGCGCTTCGACTATGATTTTTTCGACTGACATTGTTGTAGACAATCCACTTTTCATCGCCAGTAATCATCCGCTTTAAAAATGATTCGTTTTGATGGCGTTTGAGCAGCGAATCGCAAGCTGAAATTCGGTCCATTACATTCTTTCCGCTCAGTTCGTGCAACATCCAAACATCAAGCTTGTTTATCATCCCAAACTTCCGTAAATGTCTCGAAACAGTTGATTAGTTAATGTTGAGATTATGCCGATTTCTGTAGTCGTCAAATGCCGATCGGAATCGATTAAAGCCTTGATTTGATCGACATAGTGACTGGCCGACCACAACGAGGAGCATCTTTTGGAGATCAAAATCTCCACAACGGAATTTCGCAAACCACTTCCGACACACACTTTCGCTTATGGCATTCTCTCCGTACACGGCGTATATCTTTATGTGAGTTTGCGACGCGTTTTTGCCTTTTCGGAAATAAAAAAGCGAAATGCACCGAAAATACACGTTTTTTTCCTTTTCAAAATATAATTAAACTTCGTATACGTCACGGATCTCGATGAATACTTTCTTAAAATGTCGGCACAAATTTCAGCTTTCACTTAAAGTACGACACTTCATATGTTTGACACATGTGCGAGCGGAAAAACAACTGCGAACGACATCCGTCGGAATTCGCTACGGACTTATGCATAGACCCAATACAATGTGTATATTCAATACATCGCTACACGTTACAGTATATTTTGTATAGAAAACTCCATTGATGCTGTCTTATTCCTTAGGCATAATAACATCGGAAATTTCCAATCGGGAATATTATTTGCACATCATGACTGTTGCTAATTTGATGAATCGGCAACGATTCTTCAAAACAGCAGTCATAGTTCACAAATATTCAGAAATAACGTACCTAATTTGATATTTTCAATATTATTATACCTAAAGAATGGACAGCAGAGTCTGCTGTGTAGAAGACTTCATTAATATCGTGGCGTAATAGTGAAAGCAAAGTGACATTAAAAATTTCCAGTTAGACACATTTCTAAATATTTATTTCTAAATATTTGTACACCATGACTGTTGCTGTGAAATATCGTTACCAGTTTACAGGGTAATCAACAGTCATGATGCATGAATATTCAGAATGATGTGCTTAATTTGAAATTTTCAACGTCACTATACCTAGAAAATGGGACAGTATTAGCGGAGTTTGTTTACAATAACTAGATCCTTAAATAAAAAAAATAAATCAAAACTATCGACCATTTTGCTTCGAAACGAAAAATCGCCCAGATTCTACATTCGGAGAATTTGTTTTCTAAATGGAACTAGACGAGGAACGTACCGTTTTCGCCGATATTTTTCGAAATGGCGAGCGCAGATGTGGCACACGCGCGCTCGCCAGACCTCTCCTCTATCTCGCGGCGCCCTTTTCCGCATTGTGCGATCGATTCCTTCTGCAAGAAGCCCGGTCGTATGCGTCTCGAGCAACGATTGAATCGCGCTGTCGCCGGGGGAGAGGGGCGGGTGTTCCGTTGGCAGGTATATACGCGGGATTTCCGTCTTACGGAAATGGTATTTCTCACTAATTGGCGGATCTGCCCTGTGCCCCGTCGTCATGAGGACTAACCGCAAGTCGTTCCCGATCATCGCCGACGACGTGTCCCCTTTTGACGCGGTTTTACACTGTTACACAGTCGGGCACAGAACACGGTCCGCCATGTGACAGATTAAACGCGCAGGTGTGATCGTGTGTCGCTGTTCTCGCGATGGGAAGTGAATTTGTGCACTGCGACACCCCGCGCTCGCGGAATACGCGCGTACACGTGCGCCTCTTTATCTCGGTTTTATGTAGAGATCCCTCGTTTTCTCCCCTTTCAATTTTGGACCCTTCGAGGCAAAGTGATCACTCATCGCGCATTTGACAGCGATACACACGCGCGCGTTCACACATACATACGTACACCCACATATACTGATCCATGCACGCGCATGCAACACGGACGATGCGCGGTCGAAGGTATCGATGCGCGATTGATCGTTTCACGACGATTTACTTTTTCTCTATCTCCCCCTTTCACGCGATATCTCGATCGAACGGCGCACCGCCGAGTTTCCAGGGAACGAAAAATTAATTATTGCTGTAGTTAGGCTACGATATATATATATATATATATATATATATATATATATTTATATATTTATATATTTATATATATTTATATATTTATATATATTTATGTATATTTATATATTATGTATAATAGGAGGACTTGTGTTTGTAGAGAATAAAATTTTCCCGCGCCATTTTGTACCTTATCCCTATATACGCAAGGAGTCGCACGGGATACGCATACGCGTGCACATAAATCGACTCACACGTATACACATGTACGTGAAAAAAAATAAATTTGCTGTTGTAACGAAACTATCATTGCTACTACACATTCGACAGCGATGAGATTTAGCTGGCGTGACCGAATTAACAAATTATTCTTAATTAGAGCTGAGATAGGGATTTTGTCGCCGGGATGGAAAAATTCTGCCGAGTGAATTTATTCTTAGAACCACGTTAATTTGCGGTTAGAACGAAACAATATTTTCCTACATTCGCTGATTTGTTATTACAGCGAAATAATTTGTAGATTCAGCAAAATAATTCCAAGCGGGTAATTAGTATTACCAGATCATTTCACCGTCTGTATAGCGTTTAACAGATTTCGCTGCGACAGCATAGAATTTGTGCGGCGCCAGGAAATTACTTTTCCCCGTGCACACACACACACACACACACACACACACACACACACACACTTATATACCCGCTTACGCGCGAATCCGTATATACCCTACACGTACGTGACAGAATCGTTAAATTCTACGTAATACGTAATCCTCCGTTTAAAAGTAACATCGAAGACTCACGATTGGAACGCCGGACGTTTAAAGAGCCCGCTGCGGGGCCCGCGAATGTATATATATATATATATATATATATATATATATATATATATATATATAGTAGGAAACGTATCTTACATATCTCCTCTCACTTCCTCTCATTTATTTGTCAGTGATTCCGCCGAGACGATCCTAAAGCTGGTCGGTGTTTACGCAGCCGATCGATCGCGCGATCGGCCGTCCTCGTCTCCTTCCCGTCTTCTTCCAGTCGTCTCTGTGTCGTCGCCGCGTAAATATGACATACACATACACACGTGGTGCGTGTGGTGCACAGATCGAACGCCTTGGAGATCGCGTTTCCTCGCGCTCCGGTGCGATCGCGTCCGACGACTTCTTCCTGAACGATTCTGCGAGCCGTGTCACCCACGTGGGGATTCTCGCGTTGTCCTTACGCAATTATGGATTGTCATTCCTCTTCGTGTACGCGAACCAAGAGATTAGGCACGGAAACGGGTGTTCTCCATCCGGAGCGGCCGTCCGGGATGCGAGCGTCTCTCTCCCGCTTTTCCCTTCTCGCTCGGAAGAAGTGGAGGAGGAGGAGAAGGTGATCCTGCGTGCGATGGAACGCGGCCGGTAAGCGAAAAAATGCGCCTGGATGGAGGTGGGAGCGAAATATGCGCTGCCTCTTGGTCTACGAGAAGTCGGTATTCCTCGCTCCACGGGGTACATGGTGAAACCTGTACGAGAGCGCGCGATTGTGTGTTCCCTTTGGCCGGCCGGAGTGGCCACTGTTTTAACTCCGTTCTTTCTTCATCTCACGTTATTTACACGTCAATGTCCCGGACGCGCGTACGTATAACTCGACGGATCACGCGGCTGAGACTTTCCCGCCAAACGTGTCCTGTCTCGACGGGACGCTCTGTTATTGTGGCTGGTTCGCTTCCCCCGACGACGAGGTCGCGCAGGAAGGATCCCCTTGGGCGTCTTCAGATCCTCTCGCTCCCCGGAACCCACCAGTTGGACACTGATGTCCCAGTCGCCTCGTCGAATACATCTAGACTGGAGAGACGTCCCCCGCACGTCTCCGGGATAAGATCTGACGCTATCGGCTCAACGCTGTCGTGAAAGGAGCCCTCGGAGGGTGAGGAGGGTACCGGCGGGAATTACACGGACGTCGTCCTGACTCGGCGGTGCCGAGTCGTTCCTCGGCGCCTCCTACGTCCAATGCGTCGAGTGTTCGGATCCCGAAGAATTCGTCGCCTTCTTCACTTTGCTGAGGAAGAGGAACGCGTATTCCCGAATCCTCTCCGAAGTATCTCTTCCTCCGTCCTCCTCGCGCTCGCTCCATCCTCGGTCGATTCGAGGGAACGGGGATCGGCTCGGTGCGATCTCGGGAGAACGCGCGTCCTCGAGGTGCTATCGGTGTGTCGGCATGCCCGAGGACGGAAACGTGTATGCATTACTTACACACGTATATACGCGTATACATGCATGTGTGCTCACCCGCTGCGCGTATGTATGAATTACATTGCCGTTAGCGTCTCTCCTCTTGGTCGACGCTAGGCTGCAACGCTCATTTGTACAGTATTCGGCGGAACGCGCGGCGAAAGTCCTTGTTGAAGACCGTGTAGATGAAAGGGTTCAGCGCCGAGTTGGTGTAGCCGAGCCAGAAGGCGATGACGAAGGCCTGCGGCGGTATCTCGAAATCAGGGAACATCGGCTTGACGATATAGAGGACGAAGAAGGGCAGCCAGCAGAGGATGAAGCTGCCCATTATGAAGCCCAAAATCAGCGTGGCGCGCTTCTCCTTCTTCCTCGCCAGTCGCCTCTTCTCCCTCTCGGGATCGCGCGGCTTCGCCGCCTTCGCGTCGCCGCCGGAATCGTCCTTGCCGTGGTGTCGCGCCGCGTCGCCGTGCTCCCTCCGCAACTTACCTATGTGCTTGCGGCCGAAGATCGGCTGGCAGAGGCCCAGTTTCAACGGCTTCACCACTCCGCATCGCGACACCACGCCACTGTCCGACGACGAGGGATCGAACTCGGACACCATGTCGACGTCGATGCCGACGCTCGGCGCCCGGCATCGCGCCGGCACGCTCTGCCCGCCCGACTGGCCGTCCCCGTTCACCGACAGGCTCGCCTTCAGATTGCTCTTCTGCGTCTGCACCGGCGCGCTCACCTGCAACCATTACGACAAAGGTCGTCATACGTCGCTCGATCGCTTCTCCCTTTCTTTTCTTATTCGTCTCGCAATAACGTAATATAAGCACCACCGGTGTGTCGGAAATCAAATCGTTAGAGATGATCTTGGAATCCTGAGCGTAAAGGAAGATGTAAAAAACTTGCCGCTAGATTTAACGTAACGTTTTACGTGGACTAACTATTGTATTAAAGAGCCTGATATGTGAGTAGCAATCAGTGGATGCTACTCTATGTTAAATATTGATGATATTGAGAAATATTATGCGTAATATATTTAAAACTATCGTGTATCGTGGGAAGTGGTCAAGGCAATAGTTAAGCATACAACACACAACTACGATTCTCTTTAAGAATAAGCTCTGTTTCGCAGTCTTTATAAACGTCCGTCATCTTCCATTCTCGCTTGTCTTCTCCCTTTTCTTTCTCGACATCCCCCTTTGTCTTTCTCCTCGAGCGCCCTTTGCGCACCGACCGCCAACGCTCGGCTTCTTTTATTCTCGCGTCAGGAGGGCACGTTCGGCCACACGCGCGTAACTTAAAATAATTGTAATCGGCCTACGGCGAAAACACTTATTCATTGTCTTAAAAGACAGATCGTAGATATACTAGAAAGAAATAAAAAAAAATCGTCCCACAAATGAACACGCATAATCTCGAAATTTGAAAAGTGGCACAATGTTTTCGAGAGAACACGCAATCCCGAAAACTAAATACCGAGACAACTTCCCGAAATATTAGAAAATGAAAGTGAAAGTGAAGGTAAACGTGTATAATTTCGAAAAATCAGAATTTCGCAATTTAATAAGTAGAACAACATTCCGAAAGTCGCAATCCCGAAAATCGAATACCGAGATATTCTCCCGAAATATTGGGAGAAAATAAAGTTGTCTTACAAAATCATAACTTTGCGAAACAATTCCAGTATTTCAAGAGATTGTCCCGGTATTCGTTTTACGGAATTGTAACTTTTCGGGATGTCCTACTTTTTGAACTTCGGTACTTTTTTTTCGGGAATATGCATGTCCACCAAAATGGAAAACTTCATCAAGAAAATGGAAGTGAAAATGAAAACTTTATTTTTATCCAATATTTCGGGAGATTGTTTTGGTATTCAGTTTTCGGGATTGCGACTTTTCAAGATAATTACATTATATGTTTACAATATTTCGGGAAAGTTGTATTTCAGAAGATTATCCCGATATTCAGTTTTCGAAATGTTGTCCTACTTTTTGAATTTCAATACTATTTTCTCAGGAATATGCGTGTCCATTGTTTCGCGTTCTTTCGCGTGATCGTAAAAAAGAGTTCGTTCGTTCGTTTTTTTGCGAGGAGGGGAACAAAATTCTCCACAGCGGATTTAAATTAACCCTTTTCGTACGATTTGTATGATTTCGTACGATGATATCAGCATCATACTATAAAGAAGTGTGTTACAAAAAGACCTGTTTTTAATGCGTTCAGGAGAAATAAAATAGACAATTTCTTATAGTTTTTAGGACGATAAATCCAAGAAAATCTATTTGCACGAACATATTCCAGTCGGCTTTCTCCACACATCGGTTAGCGCTCAAAACCTGTTCGTTGTCTGCTATTTTGACTCGGGTATAATTTGAAAATTATCGTTGCTTCATCATTTTTATACTTAGACTTTCGTCTCAGAATATCCCGAAGAATCTGTCATTTTAAGGGCATACGGTGGATTCGGGACACCATGTTGCCCGGCGAGAGCCGGCCTCCATTGAAATATTAGCGAGATGTACGACGAGTGATAAAATTCCGACATATAATTATTGATATACGAGCGACGTTATGGACGGCGCGTTCGCTCGCGCCTAAGTATAACATACATCAGGAATATTGACTGACGCGTCTCTCGACGGAGAGTATCTCGCCGCTTCGGAGACAGAACATCGCGTATCAATTTCACGATACAACGCGGATATTTGACGTGGAGCAAGCAATACCGATTGTCGTCGTCGTCGTCGATAGGACGTCCTCGATGCGCGGACTTTAATTTATCACGGTATTGAGATACAGTTTACGGGAAGCGACACGACGGCCTAGTAATCTGGGCGCGCGGCAGATGCCGAAGGAAGCACGGGTATGATCGATCGATCGATCGATCATGCGATCCGTGATACCGCGCGCCGACATTGCGCACCCGTCCACAAGACTTTCCTCCGATTCCGCGAATCCACCTCCGATAACGAAATGTGTCTGATTTCGAAGATTTACTGCTCTTACTTTCGCTCTTTCTCTCTTTCTTTTTATGCGAGAGCCACCGACGATACAGGATATACTGTGACAGTAATAGCGAACGATATCGATACAATGACGCGGAAACCATAATCCAGGAATGCGACGAACGGAATAAGACTCCGACCTGAGACTCACGGAAATCACCTCCCCGTAATCTTTGCCGAGTGAACGATTTTACGTTGTACAAATGAAATTAAAAGAAGAAAAAAACAGGGCTTCCGGTCGATCATTGATGCTCAGTGGATCGTCATGAAACTCGAGATTCGGTCGAAACTAATTAAACACAGAGCCAATAAAAACCTGCACACAGATGTTGCAGGATATAACAAACGGTAAAATGCAATTTAAGGGGAGCGCCTCAATTCATCAGAATTTACTAGAATTTTTCGAACACGCTATTCTCGTTTCTGATTACGTAGAATCATAAGTCCTTTTGCACGATGATAATATATACGTTAATATAGTTTGGTCGACTTTATACCGAAAACGAAAAAAAAAAGTTTAAGAATGGTATTTCTTTTTACTAGTTCTTATTTCAATATGGCGTTTATAGCGATCAACCAAATATTCGCTTCATGCAAAAGTTCTGTGGGTTATGCGAATAAAGCAAAACCAGGCCGGGTACTGCACTGTGAAACACTATTCAACTGTTAGAAGTAAACTGTGCTGCTCCGTTTTGTTTTAATATGTGTGTATAGTCGGTCACAAAACCGTTGCAATATTTTCCTTACATACTTCAGAACACATAAAAAATACGAGGAAGCGATGATTGAAACTTTAAGTCAAATATCTCCGAAACTATATACGACTCCTACATAGTTGTGTAGGAAAAAGTTACTCAGAATTTCATTCTTTATAAGATATTTCAAAAAGAAAAAAATCAGCGTTACCTCTTATGCACTTTAACCGTTTTATTCTATGCTCTCTAAATTTCCCATACTTTTTGCAATTTCTTCGACGTTATAAATATATATCAGCCGAGAGTACTGCGGTACAATTCCGGTTCGTGAATGTTTATATCTTTGAGAGGAAATATTCTGCATGTGCTTGATTAATTCACATACGGAAAAAAAATTTGGTTGAATTTATCTGAACAAAGTAAACGCGTTTTGATTGAAGGGAACGGAATTTCTGATTTTTACGTGTTAAATTTGGCTCTTATAACTAGAAATGCCGTTGCCGTTTCTCGTTCCACAAAAACGCGTTCGGTTCGTTCATTTCAGGTGAACTCGAGCAAACTATTTTTCTTTGTGTATCGGATATCTGTAGACATTGATTATTTATTATCGCGAGATTCGAGCCGAGAACTGGCTTGGGAAAATTCGTGTGTATCCTGTTTTCCGACGCTATCGCTTCTCGAGTCATCACGCTTGCCTCGGCTGACGCGATGATATCGGGATCGAACGGTCACGTGACGTCCCACTACCTTGAGCGTGTCCTTCTCCTCCATCGGTATACTGATCCCTCCGCCGGGATCGGCCTCGGACGTGCTGACGTCACTGGCCAAGTCGCACGTGACAATCGGTATCTGGACCGGCTGATTCTCGATCGTCGCAACGTTCTCCATGACTGATCCCGGAGGCTTCTTGGCGTCGGTCGCCGGCGTGCTCTGAGTGAAGCTGGTCTGCCTGACGTCCGGCGATTCCGGCGGCACTGCCGCGCGCGGACGCGGCTGCTTCCGAATCCCGCGACGCGCGCGGGCCTTCGCGGCGAAATATATGCGTATATACACGAACACCATGATGCAGGATGGGATGTAGAAGCTGCCCAAAGCGGAGTATATCACGTACCCAATGTCCTCCGACAGCTGAAACACATAAATGAGCGCATTCGTTAGTTTCTCCAACGCTCTCAATCACATCTCATACAGCAATGAATATATACGCACACGTGTGTACGTGGCGGCACGCAAATTGGTATTCAAATTCGCGTAATTCGCGAATCGTCTTACAGTCGCCAGCGCGAATGCATTTTCCCACGACGCCATTCTCGCGTTAATGCAATTGCTATTAGCAGCGGAACCGCCGTCACGGCGCCCGGTATCATGGAAGTAGTCTCGGCTCGGGTTAGTAGTGAGCTACTCGACGTAATGTCTCGTTACATCGAATTACGAGGCCGCGGTTAAACGGGACCGAGCGATTCGGATACGCGAAGTGTAACACATCGGAGAACGCGTGTAACGCGACTGCTTCCTCTCTTCCTTTCTCTTTCCCTCTCCTCCTCCCCCCTCTCTCTCACTCGTGCGTATTCTTCTTGAATCATGACCTTTCCTTTGACGTCGTTTTACCTTCCTACACGTTGCATCTCAACTGCCAGTTTCTATTTTATTGTTTCGAGTACTCTGCTTTGCATCGGCATGCTCATTTAACGCGTTCACTATCGGCTTCATACATATGCGACCCAACGATCTCTCGAGAGGGACCAGATAAATCCAACTAAACTCATTTTCCAGTGTACTATTTTTCTCATTCCTTCTGTAAATCTGCAAGTAGTTTTTCCAAATTTTGCGAGCAAATTTTTTGACGCTTACACGTCGCGAATTTTAGGACGGACGATGATTGGATTGTAGTTAATTTTAATTCCGTACGTTTAGCTATGCACAGCGAATTTTCCAACTGTTGCTCGATGCAATCAATGGCGTACAGTCATTACGCGGGCGTATATACATACATAAACGAACATACGTTTGGCGACGTTCTGATTACGGAATATCCATCGTAAAGCAACTCAAAGCTGCGATCTTTGCTGTCTCTATTACCAGTATATTTTATTATTTATTTTACAAGCGTCTTTCTTGCCGTCTCTCTGTCGCCACGGCACATTGTTCTACAGGAATAGTCGATTGACCTTTAGATCCTTAGCACCCCAGTCGAGCTTATTAATGAGCGCTATCAGCGGTCATTAGTTCTCACGTCGCTGGATGCATTAAAATCGCGCTCGCTGTGTGATCGCATGGAAAACATCGGCTTATTCATGTCATTAGCGAGCGAAGCTAAAAAGAAGAGGTAATTCGCGTTTTTAACTGCCATATAAAAGTGAGACATGTTAATATTTACGGAGACTCCAATATTACATGATGTAATATTATATTTATTAACCATATTTATTAACCAGCTTTCAGAAATGAGTGAAACTACACCAGAAAAACGGTTTGCTTGAATTTACCTGAAATAGACAAACCAAATGCATTTTGATCGAGAAAAATAGAATTTCTAGTTGTAAAAAGAAGTTTCTAGTTATAAAATTTGACTTCTAAAAATCGGAAATTCTGTTTCCAGCAACCAAAACGCATTTGATTGTCCATTTCAAACGAATTTAATTAAATTCTTTTTCCGTGTAGTACCAAAACAAAACGTTCTTTCAATATGAGAAATTAATTACGTAGAAGAATTTAGCTCCACGGTTTTCTCGTGGCAGTGAATGTATTAATACAACACTTCGATCGAATATTAATTACGCAAAACCTTCCTGCCGATGGCGGAAATTAAGGGTCACGTGTAAAGCGGATTTCATTTCTCGTGGGGGCGCGCTTCTTCTCGCCATTATTTTTCATTATTTTCTCCCTCGAGCGGCGGCGTCTTTTCTTTCGCGGCAGAGATGCGCGCCTCTTGGCGCGACAGGAAAAGAAATTTCCCGAGGTGCGGCAGGTGCGCCGACTACGCGAGGGTCGCAGGAGGCGCGAATACGCGAGATAACGAGCAATTTCTTCAGTTCAGAAAGTCAAATTTATGAAAAGCGCGCGCGCGCGTGCGCGCAGGTCGACGTGCAGCGCTGCTTGTTTGCCGGGGCGATGCACAGATTTATCTTTGTCTATTCTCGTGTCGGGAGACTAATGGAAGTTCGCGGGACATCGTCAAGCTTCGCACCGTCTCGCGGCTGAGAAACGTCTCTGCTTGACACTCGAAGCGATTAATCGGCACATTCGCCAGAATCGCAATAGCGTTAATTAATACCTCAAAGCGAGAACAAGTTCTCGAGAAGGAGAGACAGAGACAGACAAAGAGACAAAGAGGAAGGTCGCGGTCTGCTCGTAAGCAGCGAGCGGATGATACAGAGCCGAGAACGAAGCGCCAGCGAATTATCCGTCCGCTTTAAAAGAATTCTCTCTATTTGAGCGTGGGATTGAAGAGCGAGCCGGTGGAGAAGCCGGCGAGGCGAGTAATCCGATGTCATTTTCGTCGAATAAAGATTACTCGCGCTTTCCGCCGTTTGCGAGATTCGCGCAATTTACATTTTGACGATCTATCGGTGATCAAAAAGAAAAAAAATCAAGAGAGAAATGGGACCGAAAAAGCGCGAGGTCGTCGTGATTCTGCGACGAGCCAATAGTTCCCTTCTCCCTCTCCACCCCCTCTTCCTATCGAGCCGACCTCATACGGGTGTACACACGCGTTGACGCTTAATACAAACGTGTGGCAGCGGCGTACGTGAAGTAACGAGCAATCCCGCAAGCGGCGAATGAAAATTCATGAAAATATGAATAGTAAGGTCAGCGGCGGGAGGCCGGGAAGCGGAGACAACGGTCTGGCCGGAGAAGCGCGGTCTGAAAGCGGGATACGTGGGAAAAAGCGGAAATCCGCGGAACGTTCCCGCGGGAGATACCTGTCGTGACGCGCCTGTGCTGTTTCGAGAACGGCCAGGCATACAAAAGGAGAGATACAGAGAACTGCGAAACGCGACGCAACACGCAGCAATTGCGTCGAACGCCGCGCGAAACGGACCGTCGAATCTCTTATCGGCGCGAGCTCGCGCGAAGAATTGACCGACGAACGCTCCAAGTCATGGCCCTACGGTTAATTTTAATTCCGCAACACAGTGGGAGCCGAGCTGATGAAATAAGTTTAATTTTACTCGATATAATTTACTCCTATTTTAATCACGATTATATGTCTTAAATATACGTTTCCCCTGTTTTTAGCGTCAAAATATAAGAAGAGGGGGTTGTTTTGAATACGCAAACGAACTTAATAATTGAAATATAGAGAGCATTTGTAGCTTCAAAGTAGCGCTAAATTAAATCTGTAGAATTAAAAGCTCGAATGAAAGATGTTAAGAAGTGTAATAACGATAAAGTAGGTTTTTTTAGTTAATCCATAGATCGTTTAAAGTAGGCGCAAACTGCACTGGTCGACAAAGCCTCTCTGTCGAGTATATTGCGTAACAAATTTCTTGAGTTTAGTATTAATTACTGTTGAGAACGTCCTGCTAAACATTGATCCTGTTGTGATCGGTCTTCAGTTCTTTACGCTAATTGGAAATTTGGATTTCGTAATCAACGTGATCCTTCCATGAAGATTATTGGAAATTTTTTAACGGGTTGAATTAGTATTGTTTTTTATTGAATTGCAAATATGACAACGTTCCTTTATTATTATCTGAAATTCGTTTCCAAAATAGAAATCTTGTTTTTTTTATGAATTGACCGATATGCATCTTATTTATTGGGAAGCTGGGTGTGAATAGCCAATATTTCGAAAAACTATTGCAACTTTATCACTGAATTGTAAAAAGTTCACTCTAGCGCCCAAACGGCTCATTTGCGAATATTCATTGACAAAGATTTTTTTATTTTTGTATCTTTTATAACCACTCAAAGTTTCTCGGTTTAACTTCGGGGCATGCATATGATGTAACCAAAGAGATAGCACAGCTGTATAACCAACCTTAGCTATTCGTGCCAATAATTCCAGGTAATAAAGCTATACCTTGCAGCAAATGCATTTTACTATCCAATTTTCGGTAACGACAGTAAAGTTCGTGCCAACTAAAGAAATTTAACTGCTATTATTAAGTCATTTCTCTGAACGTAAGTTTGGAACGACGGTCGAACGATTATCATGAACTCCCGTCATGAATTCCATCGTCGTCGTTAAATAACAAAACAAAGAACACAAAAAGGAAAAAAAGTAAACGATCCCCACACACACACACACACACACACACACATTCGTTAAATAGAATAGATAATAATAACAGCGAGGAGAGATCGCGCATCTGTTTGCAGAATTCCGGAAAATCGCTGTTTAGCCGACGGATTCTGCTCCGCGTCGCTGTCGCGGCAACCGATGGAGCGATCGTCATGTTTATTTATCTTAAAAATAAACAGGCGCACGTGCGCGCGCATTTACACTCGAAATACTCGGCCGAAAAGAGCCGGACTTATCGGCGGCGGAATGGGTGCATATATGCATATCGAGCGTTCGGAATGTTAAAGGTTAAAGGCGTGCGCGCAGTTTCGAACGTTGCAAACGCCCGTCCTACTTCCTTCCTTGCGCCTTGCTGGACGTCGTATAATTAGGATTGGATAGAAAATTAGGCCAAGTGGCCAGCTTGTATGCACGTGTGTATATGTGTGTGGAAGTTCCTTCTCGCTCGCGTTGGCTGTCAGCAGTGTCAAGGGCAAGGTGATATGCAAACATCGCGCGATTAGTGTGTCGGCCGGCGGAGGTGAAGAGGGTGAAATTACTTGTGTTCAACTACGGTCGCTTGTACTTGTTTGCGTTTGTTCTTGCCGGAGGGGAGACGGCACGCGCGAGAAGAGCGCGCTCTTGGAACTTGCGAATTTCCCGTATGCGATGCGACGCGACCGTAGTAACCGGAATGACAAACGGACGAACGCGTCAACGCTCTTCCGTCGGCAATATACGGCGGCTCGTCATGACTGTCCAAAGTATTCGAGTTGGAGAGGAAGCGCGACCGAGACTGAATATCGCGCAATTATCGAGCGCTTTACTCGTGTTTACTCTTTGTGCCTCT